TAATTTTAATTTAATAATAATAAAAATAATAATTAAAAATTTAAAAATAATAGTATAAAAAAAAATGAAAGTTTTTCTAAGCATAAATAAAGGTCCCCCTTCCCCAAATCCAGTAATCAGTTTTTGGGTTTTCCTTCATTTAATTTCACACAAATTTTTTGGGGTAGCAATTTCCAAATTTAAAGGGTTTGCCACCCCAAACCTGCGGTACTTTTTGGGGGCAAACTTGTTTGCAAAAGTCATTCCAATTTCTTTTTCCCTTTTTATTTTTTTAACTGCCTATTTTTAACCCCTAGCCAGGGTCCAATGAATAAAAGAAATGCTTTCTTAAGAAAAGCACCGACAATACATCTTTCCAAATTAAAGAAAAGGGTGGCTTTAAAAGCCATGTCGGTTGTCATGAACTCGGGCTCAGATGAGGAGAAAAATGCTTTATTATTACGCTAAATAAACCCAACTACGTTTTTTTTGGGCCTACAAAATTTGGATCTAATATGAAAATAAAACAATATTAAATAATAAAAAAATTGTTAAATACTCCAGAAAAATATTATTTGGCATAGTACCGAGCATTGATGGAGTTGAAGGGGAAGTAAAACAAAACGGGGACCCCCCCCATAACGATCACCTCCGGGGGGGCGACCAATTAGTAAGTGTATTTATGTAAGTGATTTGTACGGGAAAATTTTTGGGGGGTCAAAAAATGGACAAATTTATTTTCCAAAATTCCCTTAAGGGGAAAAATTTCGGTCAGTACTGGCACCTAAACAACTTCGGGAGTAAAAAAAATATCGTTAAACCGGGGGGGGGCCCCACGACCTTTCCCTTCCTATCCCGGGCCCTTGGGGGTTTTATTTTAGAAAAACCCGGAGTATAGCACAGGGCTAACTGTGTATCCACTCATACTGCCCCCATAAACCCTGAAAAAAAAAAGTTTTTTTTCTCTCTATAATTTTTCACACAAAGCAGCATATGTGTAGAGATCCTAGGAAAACCCCAAAAAAAGTCAAGGGGGTTTATTTTTAGTCCCTGGTTTGGGGTTTTAGCCATAGGGGTTTTTTGGAAAAATTTTCCCTTTCCCCGGCCGGGGGAAAAAAACATTGGGCCCTGTTTTTTTTAACACCATTGCCCTAGGTTTCCCCATCAGAAAATGGGTACCTGGGCTTTTAGTCGACTAGTGTGGGTTTTTTATCCGGGGAAAACGACCTAATTTTCTTGAAATACTCAGCATAAAAAAGCTGCTTTCTATTTAGTGTATGTCATTGATTCAGCTGGGCCCATATACCTTGTACATGTATTGGGAGTAAATAAAGATATTTTTTTATTATTATTATTATTTTAATTATTTTCTCAATGTTTTTTTGGGGTTTTCTTATTCAAATTTGGGGAAAGTATAATGGAAAGATACTTCTTAACGTACCCAAAAATGAAAGAAATCAATCATAAATAGCGGAGGTTTTACTTCTCGCCATTTAAGGGGGGCCCCTTCGGGTATATTTTTTTTATGTTTTTATGGTTATATTCTCATTTTTTCCCCTCTTTTTATAAAGGAAAAAAATATTTCAAAATTTGATATGATTTTGATTGGGGTTTTTTTATGAAAAGTTCCTTGAAATTTCGATTTACGTAGCGAAAAAATTTTTATTCTTTAGCGAAGCTCAAAGTAAAAAAATTTCCTTCCACCTGCCCGTCCAAATTTCCCAATTTCGGGTCAAGATTGGGTTGACATTATTTATACAAATTTTTACCCAAAAAGGGAGCTTTTTTCATAACACAAATCTTCTATTTTTTTTTGAAAAAAATTCCCAAAAGGTAAGCAAGAGGGAATAAAAAGGGGCCCGTAGGTGACTAAAAGAACAAGAAAATTTTTTTTAGTTTCCCGGGGGGTTTTGCATTGTTTAAATTTTGGATCCTATTTGAAATTTGGATCTGTTGAAATTTGTGTGAAATGGCCCCAAAATTTCCAATTTCCCGACCACTTTTTTGATAGTTGAAATAATTCCCTTTTAAAATTCAAACCAAAGTTTTTTTTCCTATAAAGATTACAGTGTTGAATTTTACAGAATTTGGTTTTGTGGGTTTACATGTATTTAAAAAATGATTACAGAGTGTACCAATAGAAAAGCCTAGCATGGCTAGGATTTCGGGGAGACTTAGTTTAATTCCCTTTTTTTTAAAATTTTAAAATTTTTGAGGTAAGTTGGTATTATGGCTAAGTGGGCTAAATATAGTTTTTGAGTTTAGCAATGTGAAAGCTTTTGTTTTGGGCACAGTACTTTGTTTTTAGTATTGGAGATCATAGGGGTTCAAATTTAAAAATTTTTTTTTCTTTTTTTTTTATTTTTCCCTTATTTTTTTTTTTTTTTTTAAAAGGGGGATTAAATTTTCTGGGGTTTTTTGGGGAAATGGGGGTTTAGGGGAAAGTTTTCCCCAGGGGGGTAATTTTGTTTTGTTTTTGAATTTTTTGGGGGTTTTTTCGGGGGATGGGGTGTTTAAATGGTTGTTGGGTGGTGAAAGTGTTTGGGGTTTTTAATTCCAAAAAAGGTTTTGGGTGTTGAATTTTTAAAGGGGCCCTTTGAAACAAGTATTTTTAAGGTTTTTGGAGATGGGGAAAGTTTAGAATGTTTTTGGTTTGGGATGTGTTGGGGGGTTTGGGAATTTTTAAAAACGGGGTTTTGGGGGTTATTTTTGGGTTTTTTTTGGGTTTTGAGTTGATTGCACAAATTAATAGGGGGAGTATGGAAAAAAGTTTTTTTAGAAAAAGGGGGGAAAGGGTTTTGCCAAAATATTTAATATTAAAAAATTTTAAAATTTTTAAAAAAAAAAAAAAAAAAAATTAAAAAAAAAAAAAAACAAAAAAAAAAAAGGGGGGGGGGGTGGGGGGGGGGCAAATATATCGTATCTTTGGGGAGGATCCCCAAATGTTTTGGAAACTTTTTTGGGTTTTGGTTTGGGTAAAGGGTGCTGAAATTTTGGTTTTTTGTCAAGGTATAGGGCCCCAGGAAATTTTCCCTCATTTTGGGTAAATTTGGGGTGTTTCGTCTTAATGGGTTTAATTTTTGATCTCCTTCTCTGCTACCAAACATAATTTTAGTAGGTTTTTTTCATGTTAACGTAAAATTTAAATTTGGGTGTCATCCAAGCCCATATTTTTATCCGCTCCTCGTTAACCCGGTGTTGAGGGGGGCAAGATTAGGGAGAGGATGACATAAGTCGTGCATCACAAAGAGAATGGGTTTTTTAGGGGGTTTGGGGTAAATTTGGGGTGTATTGAAAGTATATGAGAAAGAGCAGGGGGGCCGGGCACTTCCTGCGAAAAACCCGATCAAGTGGGCCGGGGTTGGGTTTTGCGGGGCCCTTTAAAGGTAAATAATGATACCTATTTGGAAGGTAAGATTTTAAATTTGGGAAGCGCATGGCCCCTTATACCGTAATGGTCAATTTTTGGAGTAGGGGTGTCGTTGGGGGCCCGGTCAAAAACTTTTTTTTAGGGTCAATAAAAATTTCTAGTTTGGGGGTATTTCCCTTTTTTTCTAATGCTGGGTAAAGCAGATCTAGCATTTTTTTGATTGCATCATTAGTGCTTTTATTTTTCCTAATCCAAATTGGCAGGGGTTGAGTATGTTTTGTGCTGTTATAAAATGAATATAGTCTCCTGTGCACGAGTTTCTCAAAGATTTTGGATAGCAGTGGTAAGTTTGATATTGGCCTATAGTTGTTTAAGTCCTGTAGGGTCACCACCTTTATGTATTGGTGTAACCCTTGCCATCTTGAGTAGTTTCGGGAAGGTGCTAGTTTCTAGTGACTTGTTAAAAAGTAATGAAATAGCATGCGAAAGGATATGGGCCGCTCGCTTGTACAGTAATGGTGGGACATTAGACAGATTCCCTGAGTTGTTTTTAAGTGACTTTATAATCTTGGTGACTTCCGAGGGCTCAGTTGGTGCAAGATAGAAGGAATTTGGGAAATTCCCATCTAGGTAGTCCCCGGCATGGGCATTAGTATGTGGGATTTTATTGGCGAGATTAGATCCTATGGTTGAGAAGAAGTCGTTTATCTTGTTAGCTGTGTCAGTGGGATGCAGTGGTGTTTCATTAGGTTTAGTTAGGAGAATATTCTTGGTTTTTTTCAGTTTGTGGGTCCCTAGAATCTGAGAGAGTGTTTTCCGGGTCTTTTTTATAAGTAACTGGGCGGTTTCTTGTACTCAGTTGACAGACTAGAGGTAAACAAGTTTAGTCAGGTATACACAAATACAGTTACATAGATTATCATACATAGCAGTGTATGTATAGAGAACCTAGGATAACCCAGAAAAGTCAGACAAAGTGACTTATTTCCAGTACCTGGCATGGGCTTGCCATACATGATTTTTGGTAAATATTTTTTTTCTCTCGGTTGTTTGTTGGGCTATCTCATTGAAACTTGGGCAATATATGATGGAAAGATGCTTCTTAACGTACAACAAAAATAAAAAAGATGGACGATAAATAAGGGAGTTAACTTCTCAGCAATTAGCCGCCTCTTTGCAGTATATTTTCGTATGGTTTTTATGGTTGTATTCTCATTTTTTTGAACTCATTTGATATAATGGAAGATATATTACAGACATAGACATGATTTTGATTGCTTTCATGACCGAAAAGTACCTTGAAATTGAGCTCAAAGTAGCGGAAATGTTTGATTTTTGCCGATGTTCAATGAACTGTGTAAGTCAAGTTGGTTAATTTTATTAAGTGTATTCTAACCTAACCACTCTGTAATCCAGCAAACTCAGTAATCCGGCACACTACAGGTCCCAATGATGCTGGATTTGTGATGGAGGACCTGTAATGGAATTCACTTCTCAGCAATTAGCCACCCCTTAGCGGTAATTTCAAATGGTTTTTATGGTTGTATTCTTGTTTTTTTGGTCTCATTTGATAGAATGGAAGATATATTACAGAAATAGATATGATTTTGATTGCTTTCATGACAAAAAGTGCCTTGAAATTGAGCTCAACCTAGGAGAAATGGTCCATTGCTTGGCTGTTCCAGAGTAAACACATGACGTCACTGTCCATTCCAGTATGCATTCGTGAATGGGTTGACATATTTATACAATTATTGCAGTAAGGAATAACAGTAAATCTTATATTTTTTGTGTGAATAAAAATTACAAATAATTTATATAATAATAATAATAACAATAATAATAATAATAATAATAATAATAATAATAATATGTATAATAATAATATGAGTAATAACAATACATATAATAATAATAATAATAATATACAATAATAATAATAATAATAATAATAATAATAATATAATACAATAGTAATAATATATGTATAATAATAATACATATATAATAATAATAATGAACTTCATATAATAATTATAATAATAGACGGCTTCAAAAGGCCATCACTAGATGGCAGTGTTTACCACGACAAAGCGGGAGCGGTTGTGGCCGCCTCCACCTGTTACATAATGACATATTTTATTCATTCTAGAGTATACATGTATCGTGTTTCTGTGTTATTTATATTGTCTGTTATGGTTCTTTTATTAAATAAAAAACTGTTGTATTATATAAAAATAAGCCGTATAGATGATATTAGCTAAATTATTCATGAAGTATTTTTCCCGGTGTCCAGACAAACTCTCATCCACCGCCGACACCGCCCATACCACTACATGAATGACATATTTTATTCATTTTAGAGTATAGTATATCAGGTTTCTATGTTATTTATATTGTTTATTATGTCATATTAAATGAAGTGAGATAGATAAATAAGCCATAGAGTTGATATTAGCGAAATTATTGAAGTACAGAATTCCACTGGAATGGATTAATTGCATTTCAATTAATTTAAATGAGGAAAATTGACTCTGCAAATGAGCAAATCCAGTTGCGAGCAAGGTCATGGAACGGATTAAACTCGCAAGTAGAGGTTCCACTGTACATGAGTGAGAGGGGTTGGATTTGAGTGGGACTTGCTAGTGTGTGGATAGAGTTATCAGAGCTTATTTCTTGGATGGCATTGAAAATTGGGTTGGGCAAATGTTTTGTTGTTGGGATGGATTGTGAGGGACCTGCCTAGTATGGGCCAACAAGCCTGCTGCAGTGTTCCTCCTTTCTTATTTCTTATGTTCTAGATAAATAAACTGTAGAGTTGATACTAGCATCATATTGAAGTATTTTGTTGTGCCTCCTGAGAGCAGGAATTAAGAACATAAGAACTTAAGAAAGGAGGAACACTGCAACAGGCCTGTTGGCCCATACTAGGGAGGTCCTTCACAAATCCAACCTGCTAACAGAATAAACGCTACCCAAGCAATAAGCTTTGATAATTCTATTTACTCAGGTGCAAGTTCCACTCAAATCCAACCCCTCTCACTCATGTATATCCAACCTAAATTTGAAACTACTCAAGGTTTTAGCTTCGATAACCCTACTAGGCAGACTGTTCCACTCATCAACTACCCTATTACCAAACCAGTACTTTCCTATATCCTTTCAAAATCTAAACTTGTCTGATAAATTAGACACATGCACAACACTTGGGTATCTTTAATGAGGAAACATTTTGCCACACAGTGACTTCATCAGTCCATACAAAGGAGAATGGTGAAGAACAGGTAGTGACCTGTACTGAACTCAGTGGTGACCTGTACTTAACTCTGTGAAGACGTGTCTTGTGTGCTCTCTGTGAATCTGAACAAGATGTCCTCTCTTGAGCAACTCTACCAGTAGCTAAAGGAAGAACTGAGGATGGCTAAGCTTGAGATACAGCAACTGAATGAGGAAAACAAGAAGATTCATAGTAATCCTCCTGTTGAGAATCCTCAAGCCAAGAAAGGAACCTGGACAGTGGCTGGAAAGCATGGGACAAAGTTAAGGATCAAGAGGGCCGATGATGGAGAGGTAGAATCAACAAAGATCCAGCATGGTTTCACGAGAGGTAGTTCCTTCCTGACAAATTTACTGACGTTCTTCAGTAGAACATTTGAAGCAGTAGACAGTGATAAAGAATATGATATTGTTTATTTGGATTTTAGTAAAGCCTTCGATAGAGTACCTCACAAGAGACTCTTAAGAAAAGTAGCAGCTCATGGTATAAGAGGTAAAGTTCTAGCATGGATAGAGGCATGGCTTACCAATAGAAAGCAGAGAGTTTCGATTAATGGGGTCAAATCTGAATGGGGATTAGTCACTAGTGGCGTTCCAGAAGGATCAGTTTTAGGCCCTCTCTTGTTCATAACTTACATTAATGACCTTGATGAGGGTATTATGAGTGACATGAGCAAATTTGCTGATGATACAAAGATAGGCCGTATGATTCATTCTGAGGAGGATAGCAATGAACTCCAGGAGGATTTGGACAAATTAATGTCTTGGTCTGAAAAATGGCAGATGAAGTTCAATGTGGATAAGTGTGGAAATAAATGGTATAAAATACTGACACAGTGGAAATATAAACACATGCAGTATAATGTGATCCTGTATTGACAACGTTTTGCCCACACAGTGGGCTTTTGCAAGTCACAAACAGATCTACCTGTGGTGGAAGGTACGCAAGTATTTATAGTCAGGTTCAGAATGCTGAGGTCAGGTGGAGAATGCTGCATCTGATGATGTAGGCGAAACATCAAGGGACCTCCAAACACGTATTTCAGAACACCAATACACAAGCAGATCTGATGATACAAGGAATGCCTGTGTACAACACCGTAATTCACACAACCACTTGATAAACTACAGAAACTCAAGACTTATCGCCACAGAAGACAACACTCAATTCCGAAGAATCCTGGAATCATCACTTATTTTTATATCCGAAAACTTCAACCAGAATAATGGCTTCTGTAACATAGCGGAACCACTTGCGAAGAAACTTCTCCATCGCTATCCCACATAAGAACATAGGAATGGAAGAACACTGCAGAAGGTCTGCTCACAAACTTATCCAATCTCCTTTCCAAGCTACCCAAGATTTTAGACTCTATAACCCCACTCGGTACATCATCAGATGCAGCATTCTCCACCTGACCTCAGCATTCTGAACCTGACTATAAATACTCGCGTACCTTCCACCACAGGTAGATCTGTTTGTGACTTGCAAAAGCCCACTGTGTGGGCAAAACGTTGTCAATAAAGGATCACATTATACTGCATATGTGTTTATATTTCCACGTGGATAAGTGTAAGGTACTAGTCCTTGGTAATGAAAATAACCCTCGAAGCTATAAACTAGGTGAAGTAGAGCTTGATCATACAGAATGTGAAAAAGACTTGGGAGTCATGGTAAGCAGAAATCTAAAGCCAAGTCAGCAGTGCCTAAGTGTGCGCAACAAGGCTAACAGATTACTTGGATTTATCTCAAGAAGTATAGGTAACAGAAGTCCAAAAGTCATTTTGCAACTCTATACCTCACTAGTGAGGCCTCATTTGGATTATGCCGCTCAGTTTTGGTCTACTACAGAATGGATATAGATTCATTGGAGAACATACAGAGAAGGATGACTAAAATGATTAACTGTGTAAGGAATCTCCGTATGAAGATAGACTTAAAGCCTTAAATCTCCACTCTCTGGAGAGACGTAGAATGAGGGGAGATATCATTGAAGTGTATAAGTGGATGACGGGCATAAACAAAGGAGATATTAATAAAGTACTGAGGGGTCGAACCAGGTAAGAACCAGAAATAATGAATTTAAGTTGGATAAATTTAGATTTAGAAAGGACATACGTAAGTACTGGCTCTCTAACAGAGTTGTGGATGCGTGGAACAATCTTCCCAGTAGGGTGATAGAAGCTAGGACCTTGGGTAGCTTTAACCCTTTCAGGATCGACAGGCTCTCTCGGATACTTGTTCTCAGGGTCGGCCAAATTTAAAAAAAAAAAAATTACTTTTTCTTATGAATAGTTAGAGAATCTTTTCCCGATCATAATGACACCAAAAGTATGAAATTTGATGGAAAACTTATGGAATTATGCTCTCGCGAAGTTAGCAGGTCTTGATGATGTTTACATATCGGCGATTTTGCCCACTTTGAGCCCTATTTTCGGCCAATTCCATTGTACTTGTCGACAAAAATCATAACTGTTTCGCTAGAGCTCCATTTTTTCTATCGAATGAGTACAAGAAACCACCCATTTACCGATTTCAACTATCCAATACAGTGGTCAGAATTTAGCAATTTTGCCAATTTCACACAAATTTCAAAAGATGCCAATTTCCGAATAGGGTCCAGAATAAACAAGAAAGACATTCCTGGCACTAAAATAACATTTCCTCTGTTCATTAGTCACGTCCCCACGCCCCTCTTACATTCTTTTGCTTTCCACTTTGAATTTTTATTCTCACAAAAAAATAGAAGATTTACTGTTATGCAGATTACTGCATTAGTGTAGAAATGGTATAAATAATATCAGCACACTTGTGAAAAAATATTAGGCTCACCAGTTGATGTGTATTGGACGCTTAGCATGATTTGTTTACTTTTGAACTTGGGTAAAAATCGAGCATTTCTGCTAATTTGAGCTCAATTTCAAGGTACTTTTCATTGTAAAACCAGTCAAAATCATCTCAATTTCTGTAATATGTCTTCCATTCTATAAAATGAGACCAGGAAAACTAGAATACAACAATAAATACCATATGAAAATACAGTGCAAAGTCGCTGCTTTAATCCAAAAACATGGTCAAAGTTTTTTTTTTCTCATTACGCACTGTGTGCTGCAGGATTTTGTTTATATTGCGCACACTGACCACATAGACCAATTCTTTCATATGTAGGCCTACCAGCTTTCCCTCACTAGATTTGAGGGCGCTAGAATTTAGGCGTACTAGTACGTCAAAAACCCTGGTGAGTAAGCCGTACTAGTACGTCTGAAACCCTGAAAGGGTTAAGTGAAACAAAGCTGAAGGGGGTGGGAGAGTTTCAGTGGGAAGAAATAAATGGGATTAGGTCAGGGGTTTCAAATAGAGTTAGAGCTAAAGAAAGAGTAGCAATAATGTTCAAGGATAAGTTATGACAGGAAAAGAAGGAACGTACATGTATTAA